ATATATACTAGACTACCCTATATCTAGTAATCTCCCGATAATTCCCGAAGGTTCGAGAGAACGAGTCACGTGACCTCGCTGACGCAACATTTGCTATTCAAATATACATACAGTTGGTTTCACTGCACAATTTACTATCTTAATCTGTAATGTCATTATAAGAATCTCTGTAGTTAAAGCCTCGTAATTCATGGCTGGGTTACTTATATTTTGAACAATCCAACGTTATATGGGCCTAGTGTGGCTCACTGATTAGCATGCTGGACTATGGATCTGCAAGTCTATTGTTCCGCGTTTTGTGGAATGGGTGCGTTATAAGAGTGACACTATTTGGTGTGTATTCATATAAGTCTCTGTCAGCTTGAGTACATCCTATAAGGGTGACGATACAGAAACACGTTAAGTCCATACATTGTGGCATGTAACCCGATATGTAGCTCTAAACATATCGTACAGTATCCTGCGAGTACAACTGAACATCAACTACTCTTCTCCATCCAGTGGCACAACGGTATGTCTGCAGACTTACAACGCTAATAACCGGGTTTCGATACCCGTGGTGGGCAGAGCACAGATAGCCCATTGTCTAGCTTAATGCTTAACTTCAAACAAACAGTTTCTCATCCAATACACGGTTTTACTCCAAAACCATCCACTGGGCTACAACATAAAACTATAATCTCGAATGTCTGGTTAAAGCCCTTAAGGATTATGTTTTTGTGATTTCACGCTGAGTATCAAGTGAAAAATCATGCTTAGGCCATACTTCTTAATCTTACACTAAACGTAAAACTCTTTAACCTTCTTCTCAATGTATCGTCTGTTTTCAAAACACATCTAGTGTTTAAATTACGATGTAAATATACTTCGAAATCAAAGACTTCTTTAAAATGTTCATGGTAATTATTAAGTAAAACCAGTGGAGTCAGACTATATACTTTGAACTTTGTACTCGAAATCATTGTCATAATAACGGGTGCAACTGATTACGTGCGCTCAAACAGCTGTGTCGCCGGAAAAGGATCGATAATTTTCGAGCTATGTTTGCTACTCACGTCCGACCAGGTTGCTGTAGCATTTCAGTTACTTGCCAGATACCCCTGTATAGCTTTAAAAATCGTATTTACTTATTGTAAAGCCATAAACATTTCTTAACACTCCTCAACATTATCGTAAATAGAAGATGCTTGATATTACAATAAAAATAAAGTGACTAAGACATTATGAAAGAACAGTTAACAGTTTTACAAATCTAATGTATTAGTTGATGTTTCTCGAGCTTAGTGTCACGCACCCTCCAACTAACATCTCAATTAAAAAACTGAAAATATAGTTTATAACATTATAATGTCAGAAGTAACAAGGTGACAATGTCCTACTACACTTATTGGGACCCTTCCTTCACCAATCAGGATCAAAAATTACCCATAACATCTATATAAGGCTAATACAACAAAAGTTTAAAATAATCATCAGTACACATCACACCAATAGGCAAAAAATTCTATAGGTTTATAATTAACAGAAACAATTTTATTGAAGAGTAGCAAATTAGCATTTGTTCTTCTAACACTAACCTTTTATTCTCGATATTCAAGTTTATGTTTCTGTTTTGTTTGTTTTTTCGTCCCACTGCTATATCATACTGAATCAGTGTGTTTCTATAAAAGTTTACTACATTCTTTTTACTTCACGTTTAAAAAACTAGTTTGATGTTGCAAATTTCAAAAGGTTTTAATTTCAATAACTATTAGTTTTTGTTTTCAGATTCTTGTGAATAATACATTTTGTATTCTTCACTAGGGTGCAAGACAAATACATCCATCAAAACTCCTGTTCGTGGAGAAGAGTCTGCTTTTGTAGAAACATGATATAACTGTTGCCAAAGGGGAAATAGTATCAGCAGCTGAACATTTGAGTCAAATCCGAGCCCTACGAAAAAACAACCAAAATGGAGCTGATAGCCCAGGGCTTAATTCTGGGACAGACTACAATCAAAATTAGGGTGCCTTACAGAGTTGTTGGTTTGATATTGGATCCTAAAAGTGCTACCATCAGACACATCCTGCATGTAACTAATACTTACATTGTGACTACCAGCCGTGATAAAGAACCTGTTTTTGAAGTCACTAGGTTACCAGAAAAATGTAAAGTGTACTCAACAAGAAATCGAAGCTCACATTGCTCTACGAACTGATGGTATTTTGGAATAAAATGATGATAATTACTCCCAATCTAATGGGGAACACCAGGTAAAGGAAAGTTGAACCTAAGAAATGGCTTTGTAAC